CAGTCTTATCTCTCTTTCAGGTCTGTCTCCTTTTCTTTCTTTCTTGATATGACCTCCTGGGCCACAAAATGCCACTGTGTAGTCTAGCTGGGATTGAAGCCGCCTCCACACAAACACACACACACCTACACACACACACGGACACGCACACACGTGCGCACACACACACACACGTACACACACCTCACAGCAAGGCCTTGGGTGCAGATCGGAGGTATTGATAACAGCTACACATTGATCCAGTATATTGCGGCTGGTAGAAAGCGAGACAGCAGTGTTGGTGCTGGGCTCCTCTGTCCCCTCCGTACAGACAGATATGCTGAGTCAAGAAGCCATGACTGGAAGCACTGTACAACATACAGTGTGTCTGCGTGCGTGTGTGTGTGTGTGTGTGTGTGTGTGTGTGTGTGTGTGTGTGTGTGTGTGTGTGTGTCCCATGCAGATGGCGTCCCATCACCTCAGGCAAGGCAGAGATAAGCAGAGTGTATGGGCTGAGATAAGATGGGAGCAGACACTGGGGAGACGGACTGACTATAAGTGAGTCACTGTGGGGAGGACTGCAGCTTTATGGCCTCGCTGGGCCCGAGGACTCTGAAGGAAACACTTTTATTCTGACAAAAAACATGAGTCGGACACAGGCTTTCATGTCAGAAAATATACACATTTTGGGCTAGTTAGTGCAACTTCAAACTGCATTTCATGTGACAGTACAGTACACACACTATAATATTACATGTGAGAAAGAATAGAATGTACAATCAGATAGATATGTGGTGTGTACGGCAGTATATACGGCCAAAAAATATTTAATTATTATATATTATATTTGATAATTACCAAAAGCCAGGCTTGGTCAGTTTTCACCTTTAATATTATGGCTATGGCACAATTTATTTGGATAGTCCACCTACAGCAAAATGTCAACAGCTTATAAGTTAAGATTAAGATAAGACAGTTTTCTGATATTACACCATGGTGGTTATGGCTTGGTTAGGTTTAGACAGAAAAAACATCTTGGTTGGGGTATGTTCATGAGTTGTCACATATAGATAATGTGTTAAAAATCTACAGCCAAAGCAAAACAGGTGGAATGTCACTGTAAAATTAGTCAAAGTTACTGTTGTTTTAAGAGTCAAATTGGGTTGTGCACTATGGCAGAAATCAATATATGAATAGGATTTTTCTTCCCAATATTGATAAACTGTATGTCCTGATATGTATGAGAGATTAATATATAACAGACATTAAATACTAAATACACAAATTGATGTGGAATGCAATGAACGGCGTTCAACTGTAATGCATTACATCTGATGTTCATATCATCATTTCATTTCAGTGGATATCGATAATTGTTGATCATTTTTAATGGCCTATATTCAATAGGGACCAGGTAGAAAAAGGTTCAATTTAACCTCTTAATGTATCAAGGCACACAGATAGTAATGTTAATGTTTTGTTATACAGTACAGGATTGTTGCTGAGCTCTCCATCGTTGACCGCCTGTGGATCATTTCTTGTGATGTAACAGATGTAGGTTGTGACTGACAACATGTTGCATACTCCAAAGAAAGAAGCAGCTGTGGTGATTCACTCACATAAAGGAATATGATAGGCTGAGCCAGGGCGTTATGTGCTTCCATGGCGATTTGCAATAAAGTGAAACTATTTTATTTAACTTCAGGCTGACATACGTTTATATCAGCTAGCCCTATGTAAAACTATCTGTATGCCATATACTCGGGGAATCACTAAATTTCAAGAATCTGAAGATCCTAAATATTGGCACAAAAAGTGTCTCTGGTGGCTTCAAGCCAAAAATGATATTCATAATGTACTATCAATTAAATCTGAAGGGCTACAACATGCTCAGAAATGCGTCAATCTCATTAAACAACTGATCACTTATCGCCTTGCCCCAGACTGAAAATATGCATGAAAATACTTTCATTGTGGAACTGGTCCAATTTAAAGATATATTAATTATCTGCACATTCAATCCAGAACATTTTGCTATTGGCCTTTAAACTCTTATTGCTAAGTTCTGCCACACACAGGCGTTTTCTTCGGAGGGTGAGACAAAAGTGATGTGTGTGTGATAAGAGGCGGCGCCATGGCACTGGCAGGACACAACAGTGAAGCCTCCCTACGCACACACACTGATAAGCATCACCTCCATCCCTCGGCCTGGCTCTGTCCTCCCGTCTCTCTCTAAGCTCTGAGCCAGTAAAGAAACTGAAAATACAGAGGACACTCACTGGAGACTGAAGATATTGGGCCGAGAGAAGGATACGGAGAGAGGTGGAGGAGAGAGGAAGCGAAGATTAGACACAGGGGGAGCTGTAGTTTAACAGGTGAAGACTTTATCCCACTGGACTACACACAACTGTTCTACTTCTGTATCATTCAACAGAGCCTTTCCAACAAAACAACTTCAGCAAGGCTTCGTTCACTCTCGCTTATTACTCCAAGACTTTTTGATCTTAAATAAGGCTGCAACTATGTTTTCAAATCAAGCTGGCAAGATTAGCAAATTTCATTATTTACAAAAAAAAAGATGTATTAATCATAAATGCAATACATGTAATAATAATAATACATTAAATTATTAGAGGCGCCTCTCTGGGCACTCGAGGACACCGTACAACACACACAAAAAAAAACACAAGTTATGTAGTTATATATATTTATTTACTGATTACGATTAAAGTCCAGTGAGTAACATTCAGTGGGATCTATTGGCAGAAATAGAATATAATATTCACAGGTATGTTTTCAGTAGTGTATAATCATCTGAATATAGGCCACCTTAGAATGAGCTGTTTTTATCCACAGAGGGAGTTGATCCTCTCCTACGTAGTCCATCATGCTTTTTTATTATTTAATATTTTTTGGGGGCTTCTTGCCTTTAATTGATAGGACTCAAGATAGACAGAAAAGGGAAAGAGAGGGAGTGCAAAGGGCCACAGGTCAGACTAACCCATGGCCGCTGGAGCAAGGACTCAGCCTTGGTACATGGGGTGCCAGGTAGTGCTGGAGGAGTCTGCCATGTTGAACTGCCATGTTTCTACAGCAGCCCTACATGGACAAACCAAACACTGGGTCTAGATAGGGCCTTTCACAAGTTTTTCGGCTACCATAGTTGAATTAAATCCTACGAGGTCCTTTAAATAATATGTTTCTAATACAGCTTTATATATTTATTAACTGATTACAATTAAACACTAAAAAAAAGTCTATGGTTATTCATGTGTAACACTATGGACTCCATAGAACAGTGTCTGAAATAGAAATTAGAATATGGAAAACAAAACACTCAAATACCTACTGTATGTGGTCCAAACGTATTAAACTGTGACAGATATGCAATCAATCAAGCCGTGTAATAGCCCTCATATTGTAAGTGGATGGACAATAGAAACTAGTCTCGAAAAGAATCAACGTGATAAACAAATGAGGTTAGACTGTATCTACTTTTATCTGTTTACAGTTGTGAGATGGTATTTGTTGAAAAGGCGAGAAAGGTGGAGAAGAACACTATCAGATATGTAAAACTATTTGTATGACACACCTTTTTGTGACACGAGCTGCAAATATTTCTCGACACCTGAGTAAAAAAAAAAGCCAGGGGTGGCTATCTGTCAGTGCAAGGGCAGATCAGATGAGTGAAGTTTCTGTCACAAGACACAGCAGATAATGCCACAGACGCCACAGTCGCTCCTCTATCTCTTCTATCAAACAAAAGGCAACAGGATGTAATGTCACGCAATAAGTGATGATTCCCTCGCCCGCACTGGCAGTGAATACCAGGCATAATCCACACACACACACTCATTCACAAGACCCATGTAACAGCATTATACCTTGAGAGTAAAAGACATATTTTAAAGGGGAAATCCTCTCGTCTGTGTGTGATTGGATTAGCCTAACATCGTAACCAGATTAAAGGAGGCATGTAAAGGGACATCAAAATCACTTGAAACCAAATCAATCCTGTCCAATGGCTGATAGACTTTACAGGCCTATTCCAACTATCTCTAGATTTTATTACAGAATAAGGGAATGGTGCACTTAACAACAGGAAGGAAAACAAGGATTCAGCACAAAATTGACAACTCTGCATTATGGGATGTACTGTCACAAAGCTTTTGAATAGCTAGTGTACATGACTGAGTACTTATCCACTTGGATGGGATTGGGCTGGTGTTAGAAAGCAGCAAAAGAAAATCTCTTTAGCATTAAACTTCCATTTATCCACAGCACACTGTCACCAGAGTACTTGTAGTAACATTAGTTAGTCCTCGGCTGAGAATAGTATCGGTACTGATAATGTACTTTTTCAAAAACTCAAGCTCAATTCTGAGGCTGTTCTGTAAATAGATTGTGTAATTTGTAATCTGTAATTTTAAATAAATATAGCAACTTCTGATCAAACCATATCAATTTCAGACTTAAATTAACAACTTCCAGTTACCCCCCCCCCCACCACACACACACACACACACTTACGGTTTAAGCACCACCCACCTCAGTGTTAAGCCTTGCCCATTCTGAGTACCAATACAAAAAGACAGATAAATCAAGTTGGCTGAACAGTAGCAGATGATGGTGTACTCGCTAATCCCTAATTTATGAATATCTTAATTATGTTTATAGATTTTTGTTTTCCTGTACGAATTGTTTCTGTGGGTACTATCAAGAATGTTTAATACAATTATATTGATTTAAAAGATTATGTGACAGGACAGTGTTAGTAGTCCCCATACTATGTCCTTAGTAGGTATCAAGCTGACTTACAATCAGCTATCAACTATAAAATACAGCACAATTGAACTGATAGCCTTAGAAAATGAGAGACGTTGGAGAAGTAGATGGAGTAGAATGAACTACATCTGAATGCAACGGGTAGGTGTACGATGAAAAAGAAGAACCAAAGTTGTATCACAGAGCAGAAGAGGAGGGATTCAAGTACAGTAGAGTCAACCGTTGACGTTTCCTACCTGTTCCTGCATCCATGAGGTTGGACTGTCCTCTACGATCTGGCACCAGCCGCGATGAGCCGGGCATGCTGACTGGCTCCGAACGTACCGGCTGGATCCTGCACATGTTTAGTATGTGTACATTATTACACACACAAAAAGAACACACCTACTTGTTGTTTTAGTGATTAACTGTAAAGCTGCCCACACTAGATAACTGGGGATATATCTATGATTATAAGAATATTATTCTTCTACATGCTTGTCAGTTAAATTTCTGTTAAATTGCAGTGACCACCTCCTAAGCTAAAACAAACCATCTTTGTGAATTACATTTATAACATCAAAATCTAGCCCAAAGCAGCTCTAACGCCAGATTTTTAATACTGGGTGCATTATTTTTGATAGTTTCAAAGTACCTGAGGCTGTGTAGGTCCAGGTCGTCTGTGTCAAAGTCCAAAAGGGGCTGTTGGACGTCAGTGGGGCCCTGGGACTGAAGGACTGAGGACGAGGAGGAGATGACTGTGGTCTGGCCCGAAGGGTGAATGGTCTTAAACTGAAACTGGGGGCCCATCCACAGGCGCCGGTGGGGCCCTGTATGGGTCACGATCTCCACCTGAGAACACAAAGGTAAAGGTTAGTGAGGCAGAGAACCATTTATAGTCTTCCAAACAAGGTCAAGATCTTTGACCACACAAAAAAAGTTACCAGCACGGGTCCTTACAATGATATGTGTAGAGCATTGCAACTTAGTTTCATCTATATCCATAAAGTTCACCACAGGACTCTTCTAAAGGCATTTTTCTGTTGGCTTATAACCTTTCTAACATTTACCCATTTCTGTCCTGCTGTTATTACAGACATATCTGAGTTAACTGCAGCCTGTCAACTTATCCACGGACTCCCATCTATTGTCAAAAAAACAACATATCTAGACATATGAAGTGAGCCACAGAATGTACTGTTATACTACTGGACCATCCGACCAAACAACCGACAGACCAACACTGCCATGCATAGCACTCCTCTACTAATCCGTCAGCAGTTAGTCAAGGACAGAGTCCTGGCAGCTTTTCTGAAGAGTCGTCATCAGTGGATTTGACATAGAGGTTTGGCGTCAATCTATGTGCCAATATTCAAACATCCCATGCAGTACCCAGATGAACTCAGTTACATGACATCCAACTAAAAGCTTGCTGTACTCCTGCACCACTAAAAGTCGACGTTGTCAGAACTCGTCAAGGTCTTGTGTGTGTTGGGAGTGCTGGGGGCATGATGGGAAGCCTTCCTGGAGGGTTAATAGAAGTGTGACACTAGGAGCAGCATGGCAGCTAGGCTGAGGTGAGGCCTACTGGGAGAATAAGATGGTGCTGGCATGGCAGGCGGTCCATGGGTGCCTGAGATGAGTGGCACTAATGCCGGTTGAAAGTAGGATAGGAGAGGGCTACGGAGTGGCTGACTCATAAACATTGGACTATTACTGCCTCCTCCATTCTCCATCTACTCTTTACTGACTAACCATCTCCTGCCTTGGACTCCCACTTTTCACTGCTCTCCCACGCTAACTCTGACTTTTCAACTCCCTGCAGCACTTAACACGCCTCTTGGTGTCTCACTGTTCACATTTCATTATCCTTACTTTGTACGCGTTCTTCTCTCACCTCAGCCAAGCTCTCAGCTCAGTCTCACTCCACTCTGGCTGCCAGGTGCCAACATCTCAGAGTGAGAGCTTACACTTACTTAATTCTCCTGCTTGTCTCTGTTTCTACACATACATGCTCATGAACGTTTAGATAGAGGTGGTCTGTCACAGCTGTGCAAATTAGGCCACAAAAGGAGGGAGGAGGATAGTCATTGTGTGTGTGTGTGTGTGTGTGTGTGTGTGTGTGTGTGTGTGTGTGTGTGTGTGTCTGTGTGCGCTTTGCCAGTTAACACCATCAATGTCACGGCCAGTAGCAGAGCTGAACAGCTGCCAGTGTGCTCTCTTTGCAGCGGGATGGAAGGTCCAGATGTTACAGTCCAGTGTCAACCCCTGACCCCCTTCCCTTTCCATCTCGCTGTGCAGGACAGGTTGCTCCGGTTTGTCCCTACGGCCTATACCCTCTATAGACTGGGCACCAAGCTAGATAAAGCTAACTAATGGGCAACACGTTTGTTGTTTGTTGCAAACAAACTTCAGACTGGTCAACATCAAGGAAGAGGTAAGCCTGTCTACCTGAAATTACCTTTACCACATCAAATAGAAATGTACATGCATCGGCAGTGGGTTTTATCAGAGAGGTACAGTGAGTATAAAGGCTTCAGAATGCTTCAGAAAAATTAACGTGCTATTGACGTCTACAGACAAAAGTGTTTATACCCGTTTCAGAAGGCCACCCTCAAAGGTGAGGTGAAAAGGATGCCCTCATAGCCTTCACCTGGTTGCATGTTGCATCCCACTGCCTCAAAATCTTTATTATGAACTATGTATGTGTCTCTTGCGTATTGTAAACGCAATATTTTGTACAAACTGGGACATCAACACTGCTTTTGGACAGTCTCTTTTTGAATGCATTATGGTGTATCAGTTGGTTATACATGCAAAAGGTGAAGTTCAAACTCTTGCCTATGTCTGATCTGAATTGCAATATCCATTAGGGCTAAAATACTTGTGACAGGTCTTTTTGTAAAGCAGTCCAAGAATGGTTGCCAATATTTGTTAGTGCAGCAGCACTAAAAGCACTTGGCATCTAATATTTTACACATTGATAATGAAATATCATTAATCTATAGTTAGGGAAAAATAATAACTGTCATCATGCAGAATTTCCTAGAACGCATTTATTCGTGTATTAGGAAAGACTAGAATCTTGAACAATTTGACCATCCATCCACTGCTACTGTCTACGTCACATTCTTTCCATCACATCACCATTGACAGATGAGATGTAGAGACCTGAAGTGGATTCCGTTAGGGCAGGATGTTTTGTCTGTCTACTGACAGCCAGGCTGCTGAAGAGCAAGTAACACTGATAGGCAGCAAATGGCATGATGCTGCAGCGAGCTAAAGCACTGACATGGAGGGTCGCAAACCTCACATTTCATTAGGGGCCCGCCATTCAATCCGAAATCCCAACCCAATGCCAAAATGCCCACTGATAATCTAATGAAGGCCATTGATATGATGTAATGAAATCCACAAGGCAGTGCTTAGCCTCTAATTCAACATAGCCTATATGTACTTAGCATTTCTCAATCTGCCAAGCTATTGTGCTTGATGTGTCCTAGTCTTTTCACAAATTTTGGAGGGAGTGGAATAAATACAAACTACCCTATAAAACTGACCTACAAAACCATGTTTCATTTTGGTTGGGTCCTCTTATCCTAAATTTACTGATAGTCTGAAATGTTCCACAAGAGCTACTTATCTTAGGTACATGCATGAAGAGCTGTGCTGTAACATCTCCAACCACTGACGAATGCACCACTACCACTGCTCTGACAGGAAGTCACCAAAATTCTGGGTTAGTGCAATGGATAGTTTTGCTCCTGGCAAACTATCATGGCAGATATGAACCAGGGCCTCAGCAAGCTAAGTGGGGTGCATTTTAACCAATCAATTATGCATGCAGTGGAATTATTGATGGTGAAAATGTAGTGGGTTACCTGCCGACACCAGAGATGAGTGCAGTGAGGGTTAACCAAGCTGAAAAGCCCAGGGTGTGTGTACTGGATTTTCCTAACATGCCTTGACCAAATACTGTGAACATTTGAGCACAATTTAAGATGGCGTTTGTGACTGGGAGAAAGCCACAAAGTAAGTAATTTTATTTGACTGAGGAAGAAGAGTAAATATGTATGAAACCAAATAATTAAGATCCAATTACTGTATGGGCAAATATATATACACAAATACTTTTCACTGGGGATGGGAGGATGGCATGTCCTGACCACAATCCAATTTTGTTCAAATTGTGCCAAATGAGAGTTAATGTTGTAAAAGCTGCAATTAATGCACTTGGGAGAAGTGGAACATGTCAAAATGCATAATGGATGTAGCATCATCCAATGAAGTTGTTACAGTTAATGTGTTAGCAAACCGTTTTCCGTATCCAGCAACATAAGCATTCATTTAGAGTAACCTGAGAAATGTACAGTGATATTCACTCTCTTTTATTTCAACTCCTTAAGGGGAAACCTGTGGCTTTTTAGTTGCTAAACACTCCACTATGTTCACCAGCTAATCACTAACTTTGTCCACCTGCCATTTGGTGCTAGGGAGGTGGTGTACAGGGTTCATCAGAGCTTTCTCACTAAAAACAGCTTTCTGCTGCGGCTGGAAACAACCCTAATGAGATAGGAGATGTGGGCCAGAACACCAAAACAATGAATTGGAGGTTAAAGAGGTTAAAAAGCCCCATAGAGCTGAGAACTAGCCCCTTTTCTATTACACATACTAATTTGATCTTTGTTCAAGTAGAAATATTGATGAGTGCAGCTTTAATTTTTAATTAAGCAGCAAAAAATAATAATTTTGCTTCATGAACATGTGCTTAAGGTGTCTACAGGATCAGTCATTTCCCTGCTTTCCATCCATTGTCTATATGAGCAGCTGTACAATGCATTCTGGTAGCACCGCGTTGCGTTTTGAGAGATGGGGCACACTCTAAAAACAAAAAACGCTCGCTTTCTCGCTTAAAATGCTTTCAGAAGCACAATTCAGTAAACTACGATCGTAATATGACAGAAATTTTCCGCATGAGCTGCCATGTCTGCCATGGTTTGAAATCCCGAAGCAGCAACCATTTGTCCAATCAGGTGCAGCCAGAAGTGTTTGTGTGGTTGTAGGAGGGTGTAGCCTCTGATATGAGAAACGCCACGATTCCCCGCCTCCAAAAAAGCCCCTGTGGACACGTACAATCACACCACAGTTTGACTATGTGCTAGACACTAATAAATGGTCATTGTTAAAACTACAAAACATAAGGCCTTGAACCCTTCAGTACCGGATATATTTTTTAAAGTATGGAAAAATTAGTTACTGGGAGACTTTGTAGGAGTATGACTGAGGCTGCAGCTGCAATCAAACGCTGGGTGCAATCTCACTGAATGTCAGGTAATGCCAATCATTCTTAATGTCACTGTAATGTCAGCTGAGGTAGAGGTCTGACCTGAGAGAGCCACTCCTCATCCTCCTGGCCACTGTGGTCCGACGCCAGGCTGTCTGAAGACTCGTGACGTGTGATTGGGCCTGGGCTTCCTGGGGGCATTGCTGAGAGAACACACACACACACACACACACACACACACACACACACACACACACACACACACACACACACACACACACACACACACACACACACACACACACACACACAAATGATTATATGATTTTACACCCAATGACGACATTTGATATTCTGAAGCTGACAATATTAGTCAAATATCATCATAGTTTTAAAGCCAGAAAGTATCTCTATCTAAAAGTGTGAAGGCCTTCAACATTATAAAATATGACACCGGCACAGCTATCGGAGAGGGATATCAGTAAGCCGAAGCTGACTGAGTAGTCAAAGCAGGGCAGTGAATCACATTTTGTCATTAACTATTTACATAAATCAGCCTGTGAAGGAAAATGATAACTGACAACTAGTTTATTGAAGAGTGTTCGAGTCATTAGGCTTTGACTGATATGGTCTTCGACAGCCAATACATACAGACTGCAGTTATTTTGTTAATATAATTTCTTAAATGTGATGACTGACCGGACCAGATTTAATTTTTAATATCGTGCACATACGAGAGTCTTATTTTGTAGGATCAAAAACTGGTGAGTAAAATCCCATGTTTTTCATTGTCTCATATGAGCATATGGGTGCGTGCCAGTGTGTGTGAAAAAGCAAGTGTACAGTAAAGTGTGAGAGAGAGGAACAGCGTGTGTGTGTGTGTGTGTGTGTGTGTGTGTGTTATAAAGAGAGAGAGAGAGAGTGACAGAGAGACCTAGAGACAGATGGGGCTCTTGCAGGCTTGAATAAGCAGGCGTGGAGAATGAGGCCTAATGTGTAGAATCAGTCCTTTCTCTGTCTCCCACCTCAGGGATGGGGTTTGTTTAACACAGGAATGGCTAATAAACTTGTCAAGTCCACATCTGGAGCACAGGAGGCGCTCCTGTCTTCATCCACACACACACTTGCACTGTCACACACTTACACATGTGCCAGGTGTTCATTCATACATCCCTGATGGAGGCGGTTTGGTGTTTGACACCTCTGTAACGAATGTCACATCAACCCCCCCCACCCCAACAAACACACTTCCCTTATGAAGTATGAGGTTTGCACAGTTCTTACACCTGCTTCTGAAGTAGTGCGCTGTGTGTATAAATGTGTTATACACAACGGTTGAACAGACAGAGAAAAAAGCGCCACCTACAGAAACTTAAACTGCATCAAAATTTCTGGATTCAAATCATTTTATAATAGATGTACTTTATACATTAAAAATTAAATATGCTATAACTAACAATCATTTTTATATCAGTTTATCTGCAATTTTTTTTTGAGTAATTGTTAAGTCTAAAAATTACATAATAATAATAAAATCATACAAAACAAACAAACAAAAAAAACTAATCATAACTTCTTAGAGTCAAAAAAGTCTTCAAATTACTTGCTTTGGCCAAACCCCTGCGATATTAAATTTACAATAATATAAAACAGAGCAAGGTGACAAATCTTCACATTGGAGAAGCAAGAACCATACAACGTTTGATATTTTTTCTTGATAAATTATTTAAGTGATTACTTGATTTCAAAACAGAATAATGACAACGTGGCCAAAGCAATCTGCTACATCAAACCAAATCATACAAAACATTTCTTACCTCTAGAGGTATCTAGCTAAGTTTCTCTGCCTCCACTAAAAAAACAACAGAGGTAAATGGACATTTGTGGTCTTCACACCACTTAAAAATGACATTTAATAGCAAAATCTTATAAGGACTATTTATTTGGAAGCAGAGGCATGATTGTTGAATTTGTATGTAATTGTTCAGAGCAGTGAGCACCACAACACAATATTCCATTAATCTCTACTGTATTAGGGTGCAGGCATAATGTCAGGGACAGATGAAACCAGCACAAATATAACCAAAACTATCTGCATTTCAAGATACCACTATGTTTTTTTATGTTGTTTTCTTTTGTAATTTGGTTGTAATGACACTTGGAGGCAGAGAAGGGTTCTCATGTTGTTTTAAAATGGAAGAAGAACAAAAGCCTGTGTTACTTATTAAACAAAATCACGACTCCCCTATTTCCTACCACTGCGCTCTCTCTCTCTCTCTCTCTCTCTCTCTCTCTCTCGCTCTCTCTCTCTCACTCTCTCTCTCTCTCTCTGCTCTCTGACCCTTGGGGCCAATAGCTGTTCCCTAATTAATTATTGATGTTCTGAAGCAGTTGGTGGACTGGCTGGATCAGGTTTCCAGTGTGTGTGTGTGTGGGGGGGGGGCTTTCAATGGCCAGTCACAGCCAGGCCAGGCTCCGGTGTGGGGAGCTAGTGGTCATCCCCATGGGTCAAGCAAAGAAACAACCCTCCCTGTGTCTGTGTGTGTGTCTCTGTGTGTCAGCGTGCATGTCAGGAGCCGGACTGACCAAGGCTGTTACAGTCATATCGGCCCATCTTAGTGTCCGAGTAGCCAGGCACTCGGCCTTCTGCTTTTACAACCCTCATTACAGGCTCTTAAGAGACACAGCGTCAATGCAATTTCACAGACAGCTAATTTTTTAAGTGCAAACTTATTGCACCGCACTCAAGAAAGGAGTCTGAATGTATGGCTATAGCTACAGTAGAAATGACTGTGTTTTGTTGTTTATGGATTTAAAGAAACATCCGAGAATAAGCCAGTCATTACTTAGAAATGATCAAAGAGGAATGGGAAAGGATGTGCAATTCAATTCAAGAGTAATAATCTACTGTAGACAAACATGTAAAATGTAGGACAGAAATTTAGAGATTTTGGTGAAATGTACTGAATGTTTCCGTCACACATTTGAAGGTATATCCAATGCCAAAACAGAGCACAACTATTTTTATTTTATTATGAGACAGGATTTCTACAACTCTGGAAAGGTATTATCTTTCACTGAGATTATTGCTTCTGAACAGTTGAGATACATTGTTCATGTTACAGTTATTATACACTACCAGAAAGGACTTTTGCCTTTGACGTCTGTTGTGACAGCTATGTTAAGCTTCTTTGCCTGACAATGACCCTGCATTATTTTGCCATAAGTGCTGACTTTCTGCAGCCCAAACATACTGCACTATCACTAAATCCTGGCTTTTATTTTGTGGATGAGGGACCTTTCCAATTGAGTGGCGATGGAAAATTTGTTTGCTACAAAAGGTTGGTGTTGGTAGGTGGTGAAAAATAAGTTTCTGACATGGGGTTGGACAATATCTATAATCAAACTATAATTTATGAAATATGATTTTGAGCCAATTCCTAACAGTAACTGCCTTGTTAAAGAACAGGATGAATGATTTGTTTTCTGGTCCATTTCTTTAATAACAAACCCTGGTGATTATGTGCTTGCATACCCACATAAGCAGAAAAACAATCTTCCCTACACCACCGAGGAACAGAGTTGTCTGTGTTGCAGTCTTTATTGACTGTGGAGAGAGTGGTGTTTTGCTGTGCTGAAGGCTGGTAGCCAGTGGCCTGTTAGCCAGAGCAGTGAAGCAGGGAGTCAGAACAAGAACAAAGGCTGCCTAGGTATTGATGTAGCCCGACCTCCCGGGGCCTTGGGCCAGGGGCCGGACAGGCCGATCTCCAGGGATAGATAAGGGGCTAACAATCTGATAGATCTGGAGAGCTGGCTGCACGGTGGACAGAGGATAGCCGTCTTGTCTGGGCTGTCCGCTCTGTTCACCTTTATCTCTTTCATTTATATTTTTTAAAGATTCATTTTGTTAATCTTTTATTTTTCCTCTCTGTGCTTTGACACGCCCCACTTGGTTGCCAGAAATTTCACTTGCTTGGCTCCCCTCTCGACTGCTCCACCTGTCCCTCTTCTCACTTTCCTCTGTTCTCGCTTTCCTCCTTTTGAGTAGTACTCTGGCAGATAGGTGCTGGCATACTGACAGACTGGGATAGCTTAGTCATTATATATCATTCAAGGCGTATTTGACTGACAGTTCCCTCATTCAGCCAGCGCTACACTTACCCCATCCTTTCTCTGCCTCTCTTTGATTACTGACCCAGTCATGGCGCCATGGTTTCTCTTTACCAAACGCCTGATGCACCAAAGCCTTCACTCTGTCCCCTCTCTCGGAGCAATTAGATCTATTGACGAGGCAACTGTGGCTGGCCTGTCATGGGCCTCAAAGTCCCAAGAGAGCAGCCAAGCCAGCCAGTCAGTCAGTCTCCACAATTAGCACATTATATGACAGGTAGGGAAGGGGAGGGCCGCGGCCAAAAAGCAATGCCTCTGTTGCTGCCATCATCATCGGGCTCAAAGGAGCCAGCCAGAAATCCCGGTGGTAAATTATTCACCGGTTTGTTTGCTTCAGAGCAACTTTGCGGCGTGGGGAAGAGGTGTCAGAAAACATACTGTGGACAGCTAGATAAATAGCACCTCGACAAAAAATCACACATGGGAAAGACCCACTGTGAATAAAAAGTCTCAATGTAGCTAATGAGGGTGTGAAAACCTCACATTCATCAGAGTACAGACACTGTTATCATAGGGATTAGAGTAGTCATTCTGTTATTACCCAGCTCCAACACCTTTGGCCAAAAGAAAAAGGCCCCATTCACACACTTGCTTAATAGACAAATGGGTACTTTTGGAGACACAGACAGGAATCCTGTGATTCTGCCTAAGCTACAGATAGAGGATTCCCCAAACACTAAAAACTTGGCTCAAGACTGCTTTTATTAAGCCAGATCGTACTACTGCATCTCCTCTATTTGTGAGTGTACTGTATAATGTGTGTCTCTTTCTTCCTTATCTCTCCAAGGCAGTGCTGCACGTTGCCGTCCTCTGCAAGGCTGAGTGCTGCCAGTAGCTGCTACAGATGGACAGGTGGAGATAGTGACCATGAAGTGGCGCCACTGCTGCCTTTTATCATCCCGTCCTGGAGGCTCCGGTCTGGCCTGACCCCGGCCCTTCCTCTCCCCTTCCTATTCCTTTCCCTGCATACTGCATTTTTAATCAGCCTGGGTCATCCAATATAGAGCCATGAGACCGGAGACCATGGCCTGTCAATCAAGCACTGCCACCTCTTTGCCTTGCATCACCTTCTTAGAGACGAAGTCAGAGTTTGGAAGACAATTAGATAAAGGAGAAATATATATAGATTTCTTACCCTAATTCTTTGACTCTTTCAGTACTTCTGTTTCTCGGCTAGAAGCAAAAACTTTCTTGCCTCATTTCCTTTCTTGCTACTAGTTCTTTCTTGCGGTGGTTGTATCCACGATGTAAATTAGACCTAGATAGCACAATTTGTTCTGCAAGTAAGAACACTGTGTCTTTTCAGTTTCCTCTGCAGCAGCATGATCTTTGTGCTCAGCAAGAGGCAGCTGGACAAGAGGCGTATGGCTGTGTTGTAATTCATCCTAAGGTCAAATCGACTCTTTCTCCTGGATCACTTCTCTGTTGCGCTGCCAAGCCCTGGAGGAAACAGCAAAGGAGAGGGCCTGCAAAGGGGACACATGCTGAGAAAAAGGATGTTGAGAGTCTGCGCTCGGGTGCAAAGCACAGAAATGGAAGGTGGCACTCCAAGAGCAACTCGGTCGGTGTTGGTGGTGTATAGGACGCTGACCCGGAGGGAAAATGGCAGGAGCACAAGAAGTGGGTAGAGGGCTGAACAATTATGTTTATAGCGTCTTGACCTCGTTCACACTTGGTTGGTTTGGAGAATAAAAAGATGCGGCGGTGTTATCTGGCTATTGTTAATTGGATGTAAATGTTAATGCAATGAATCTCTCTCATTATGCAGCCACTTCCACTGCCCATGCTGGCAGAGAGAATGGTGGAAAAAGCTAACGCCCGTGCCCGTCACCCCAACGTGTCCTCATCGCTCTGACACTAGGAGAGACCATTAGCACTAATTTGGGAAAATATCCTACCAGTTAGACCTGGAGCACTGCAGAAGTCAACGGAGACGAGTAGAGAGATTAGGGTAAACACAGCCACCACTTGCCCTGGAGCAGCCGCAAGAGCTAATTACAGATTTTGTGTGTTTATAATTATGGAGTGAGCTCAAAACGCCAGCCTATTCCAGGGGGTGGATTGATTCCGTGTGTGGCCATCCATGTGCACTTGCAAATGCATGCGAATTGGCCTTTCAGAGGGCGACCTAAAGTGCTCACTGCTCTGTACTTGTTATTGAATTAGAGAGAGTTTAGGGTGTCAGCTAATTGGTCTGAGTCCGGCATCTTATAGCACAGTGTGAGCATGTCCTGAAGCAGGCGTGTAGTGTGGCCGGCAAAGGACAGATTTGAGGTGCAGAACCGAACACAAAAACTAATACTAGATTACTTGTGACCGGGCTCAGAGGATATGTAATGGTAGAAATGGTTGAAGCATCTTTTTCTGAAGTCTTTGAGAAAGGAAATGTTATGGCTGCTGACTGGAAAGGTCTCTTCTCAGCATGTGGCACCAATAAGAGGCTGAGGACTGGCTTTCAACACAGTCAACATGGAGAATCATCAGAGATTAGGGGTCACCCCCTTGAGTAGTACAGCATATAGTACATACAGAAAACATACATGGTCGTGTTAGCCTGTGCAACCAAAACATACATAGACCTATATTTTATGATGCACACATGTAATAAACAAACATAGTACATGCAGGCTAAGCAAAAACATCAATAGTATCAATGCATTTGCATAGACTCCAGAGCATAGGATTTTGGTGGTTAATAAATACAAGAAAACTCAGATTAACATTTTATTTAGAGATTTATCTGAAACGATTGATTAAGCTGAAATTACAAAAATATCTCAGCTTTTATCTTCAAGATAGAAATTTCCAAGACAAAGGAGTTTGTTTTATCATGTTGATTCTATACTGTCTGTACTAATAACATGGGATCATATTCTTCAGGATAATCTTAAAGCCACTATGAAATTCATTTTAAGTGATTATAGTATCTTTCAAAACATTTTTATGGCTTCAGTTTTTGTTTGAAGAAGAGACCATCTCGGTGACCACATAGTGGTTTGAAATTTGACCTGACCATATGAGAATGAAAAATATAGATCCAGAGTGAGTTAAGTGCAGTGCAAGAAACAAAATTAATTCAGAACTGATGAGGTACCAAAAGCTTGTTTCTAAAAATCCTTTATTGTATGCTTGTAGCACGATCATAATGTTTCTGTCTTTATCAGGATCCCAATGACCTGAAACGTGAAACACATGTTCACTTCCATTTGAGCTGCCTGGCAAATCTGCATTGATTTACATCTTTCCATTGACTTAGTCTGCACTTCTGCTTCTCTGAAATGTTACTTTGCATTCTATTTGAACACAACCTGATACTAAGATCACGCTTGTTTGTGTACACTAATGAACACAAAAAGGATTTCTTTAGCACTTACCAGCCAGAAGGTACTGATAGTATTGCACCAGGTCTGAGGCCAACACCAAGGGGTGGTTAGAGTTGAAGGGTGGCTGCAGCTCGTTCCACTGTGGAGTCCTGCTCCGAAAAAACAAACCGTCTATGAGACTGATTACATTAGAGGCACTTTTTCTATGACATACTGGTGAATGTTGTGTTACCTGGCTAGAGTCCAGCAGGCCCTTGGACAGGTACTGAGCTCCAAAGGCGTGTCATCGCTAATCTTTTGAGCTGTGCTAATTGGTCGAGGCTCCAGGACGTGCTCCACCAAGTTACCATAGCAACTGATGATGTACAGTGAGTCGACAACCGACTGCCTGGATTGATCTGTGAAGAGGATGTGAAAGATTTTCTTTTTATTAGCTATTTAGTTTTCACTTATTGACTGTAGAATAATGTGAAAACCAGCTGTGATTATGATCTTACCCTTCTCTCTTTTCAGATTGGGGTTGGTGATGAACCAGGAGCGAGAGGAGGCAAAGATGGCGGCCACACAGAATTCTCCTCCACTGGACTTGCTCGGGGAGATCTGAGGGGGCGGCTTAGCTTTGCTTCAGGAGGGAAAAGAGTACAACGTTGAGACAAGTAACTGTACTGTTACCACATTTCCCATGAACCATGTTGCTGAAAAGCAGCACACTTCCTGTCTTGTGCTCCAAGACTTTCCCTCCAAAACTGACCAGGGGGCAGAGAATGTGGAATACAACAGAGTACTCGTCAATGGTCAGTAACTACATTGATCTTCTAAATGTATCTGCTGATTTATTCAACGTAGCACATTTGAGACCAATATTTAAATGGGTCTTAGTTCCCTTAAAGATAACCAGAATCTCACTGAGAAGAAGGGATTATTTTCAACAGTATAACACAAAATGTAAGACCCTGGAGGCAAGTATATGAAAATTACATATTGACAATACACACAAACTTGAGTGCTTTGCATGCAAGGAGCAAAGCAAGGGGAAATTCAGTTGCCTGCAAATAAAACATTCACCTTAGTAGCAGAAAATAAGAAATTAATTTTGCGCCGACAGAAATGTTGATGTATGAAATATTGAGAAAACAAACAAAATCAGTCCAAAACTCAAAAACATCTCTTACAAAATGGCCACTTTCTCAATAATCCCCTATACGCAATTTAGCGATTCATTCAAAGTAGCCAAATAGAAGACAATGACAAAGTGTTCTCTTGTGAGGTTACATTCAGACCAATCTCGGAACCCAATGTTTTCCAGTGTAGCCAACGGCTATCTGGTAAATGTATAACGAATATCTTGGTCTCAGCAGTACAATTAGCAAGATGATACACAAGAATGACGAGAAAGACACATTTTGACGAATCACTAAAAACAAATATCTGCATATGAATGCATATATATTTTTAAAAACTAAAACTAAACCACTAAAAAGCTATTCCGCCTCTTTCTTTCTCCACACAGTTTATCATTATGCAACCAAAGCGCGTTCAAATGTGATTGGTCAATACTACCCGGGTTACAAACAGAAACCAAAACGCTTCTGTTGCCAAATCTGGGGACTTGTTTAGTCTATGCCAACTCTGAGCTACCAGGGCACCCCAAAATCAATAGTTTAAGTCACAATTTTTGACGAGTAAGATATTTTTTGCAACATTTTAAAACGTAAATTTAAATCAAACGATTTAATCGATTTATCGCCCAGCTCTAATTCATATGCAGATATCAGATTATAGAGAATAACATTCAGACCCACTGTGGCAAGATTTGCAAGCTCCGTCATTCACTTCAATGACACCACAGTGTTTCTGTGGTGGGTGAGCTATTACAGATGGTTCCTGCAAAAACTGTAAAGCATAAATGTCATGTGATTGGTTATAGGCTGCATATTTTCAGTATATTTTTAGAGACTGTCTAATGTACAGCAGATATAACTCCATGTTTTTCCTTGTTTTTCAAGTCATGTATGCTCCTTCAATGACACACCTGCTTTTCCATATAGGAGGGACTAATAAATCTTTCAGTCACACTGGATGCACATGATCTACAATACTTATCACTCAATGGAACGTGCACCTCACAACAGCAGCACCCAAGCTGCCTTCCCGGGCTGCCCCACTTTGTGTTGGCCACAGGAGAAAATTTATTGGGAGTTATTGGATTATTCAGCATGTCAGGACTGTTTGAGAGGAAGCGGACACAGAAAGGGTTTTCAGCTGCAATACGGGTCCCCATATGGTAATGATCAGAGAACAGTAGCAAGGTCTGGTATTATTGTCCGGCCTTATAACCAACCTGGACAGTAAAACATGGTCACAGCAGATCAGGCATGAGGTGGGGTAAGGGCTTGAAGACTCACCGTGGTGTCACACACTCCCAGAGGGGTGCTTAACCTTGACCTTTGGAAACCACACTGGTATGAAAGCAGCACACACTTCTATCTACACTCATTTCTTGGGAAAAAAGAAAAGGCTAAAGAAGACAAAAAGTCTATGCAGAATTGCCCCTTTTCCCCATTTTGTTTCTCTGTATTTTCAGTCTAAAAATCTGGTGCAGATATTTGTACAGGTGTTTTACAGTTGTGGCTTTTGTGAAACAATTTTAAGTAGACTCGGATAGTTAGCATAAGCAGAAAAGCCTATATGACTGCAAAAAAAGAGAGTTCCCCATACAAAAATGTCATTAACAACAGGGAAACGTAATATCACTGATGGTAAGCACCTGACACCAGGCCTATCAAGAAATGTTCAAACCAATCGGCTCCATCTCTAAGCAAGGAAAGCAAATTTCTCTACAATTTTTATCACTTGTGCCACCTGCAGGCAATGAATGTTCCTACCGCAGTTCTTTTTCTATAGCTGCTTTTTGAGTGTGGCAAGTTGGGATTGGCTCTAGTCGCAATTGATGCTGAACAGCATCAGTGGTTTACAATGGATGGATATGAAAAACTAGAGTGTATTGCCAAAAGCAGATAGGTTACCTTACTGAGAAATATGTTCAAATATGTGTTGGGTATACTTTATGTTACGTGTTGGATTATATATTATGTAATTATGCACATGTTATGTGTTGCTTAATGTTAAGATTGGTCTTTAAATATGGTCAAGGAAGTTCATTGACTTTGGAATGTGTGTGGGCTTGGATATAGAGAGGAAAATACTTGGTGCTTTAAAGCCACAAGTCAAATTGTATTTCTATGCAAATTTGAATGTTGATTTATGATGATAATTTTTTAATGTTTTGTTTGTTACTTAAAAAAAAGAAATCTGATGTAATTAAAAAATAATTTAAGTATTAAACATTAAATCTTAAACACGCAAAGAAAACTTACGTCAAAAAATAAAACTGCAGTTTTAACTCATTGCCTGCAGGTGGTGGACATGTTAAAATTGCAGCAACAATTGTCCGAATGGCAACATTGTTACATCTACATCTGCTGCTATTACTGTCCTATCCTAGGAGGCACAGGTTGGTACCTACATAATGCTCAAATAACTGAACAGTCCCCTCTGTGCCGCCTGCTGAAGTTGGTTGCCGCTAAACAAACCTCACAGGAAGCTCAGTGTGAAACTAGTAGTAGACAGTAAAACTACAAAGTAGATGGTCAATAATCTAGTCTTCTATCATGAAAAATCTGTAACTGCAACTATTATATTTGTATTACACTGACCTATTGACCTTTCTCACAATGTTAACGAAAGTGAAGAATAACTAGTGTATCCAACCAGTGATTTGACTCCGCTTCAAAAGTTAATGGGTTCTTCTTTGGCCCATGCTACACCCTTCCACCAAGTTTAATGAAAATCGGGGCAGTAGTTTTTCCCATAATCCTGCTGACAGACAAACAAACAAACACACAGCACCGATACCATATAACCTCCTTGGTGGAGGTAACTATGTAGTACAATGTAGTACAGACTGCAGTTCGACAGACATGCTTGTAAGGGCAGACTGTGTCCAGTAGTTCAACTAACTTTCACAGTACTACATGCTGAAAGACCTGTTGCTGGTAAAACTCTCTTTCTGTTGCCTCCCTTCAGACTGTCAGCACCTCATAAATTACTCCCTGGATGCAAGGAGATGTTGATGTCTTTGTTTGGCCAACACCGTGTGAAAGGGGGATCAGAAAAAAGGAAGTGGGGAAGGTAGTCATAAGAAAGGCCTCTATACAAGTTTCGTAGCTTGCATTTATTAGTTCTGGGCCAAGGGGAGAAGGCTGAATAACCAAATATCCACAGTAAGCCCCGGTCTGCAAAAGGAAGATGGAGGGGGAGATAAAGTCACACTCAGGATATTGCGTTGGCTAACTCCAGGGTGCCCTTGTCTTGTCCTTCAAGCTCTTCCCCGGGCCTATTCGTTTGTCAGTGCATGCAGAAGATAAAGCATCTAACAAATGGGCCAAGTTAGCTATCCACTAGCAAGGAGGGGGTGTTTCCATTACTGCAATTTATCCCTAAGCATGTCCCCTTTCTTCTGCCTTTCAATCTCAACAATTCTGGACTAGAGCAAGGCAAATTAAAAGGAAAATACAATGGGAAAGAAATGAAAATAGACATGAAGCATGTCAGATATGTAAAGTCTTTAAACTTTCAAGAACCCCAGTGTGATCCATTAAAGTGAAAATGGCTATAAGCATGTTAAATGGTAGTGGAAAAGGGGGAAACGAGGGCTCTGTTAGTCACAAGACACCATATAACTTCTGTTCATTGCTCAAGAGAAGGAACACAATACCCAACTTTGACTGTGTGGGAGTTCTGCAGAGTCGAAGTTCTTCTTTGGTGAGGTGTTTAATTGCTGAAAACCGTGGTGTTCCATCTCTCCCATTGCTGGAAAATATGTTAAACCCTCAAAGGCCCTGTGGTTCACTGGTTTCAATAACCCAGGAAACACAAATCCTATTTCAGTGCAAGCTGATGTTGGTTTTCAAGGGTGAGAGCTTGGGCCTGACGAATATACCACTAGGCGACTTACACTGTGTACTAGAAGATATTGTAACCTCCTCAAAGTCTTCATGTTGACTTTGGACATGCATGGAAGCTGAATAATAAATCAAGGAAAAAACATTGTTTGAATCTGACAGGTTTTCTTGAGGAGAATGACAAATCAGCGAGAAAGGACTTTTAAGAGGCACAGTAGAGATTATTATTTGGAGCCATTAGGGAAGGAGTGACCCGAGTTGCAACCACGACTGACAAAGTTGCAACCACGCACACTGACCTCACACACACCCACATATATGTGAGTGTGTGAATACACACATAAATGTAAAGTATAACCACAGTTCTTACACATATATAATCACACACACCAGTGCATACGTGTATGTCTGTGATAGCAAGCTATAATACTGGCTCCCCACTGTGGTCTCATGGCTGATGAGATGGGTTTGGGCCTCTTTGAAGAGGCCTCTGCTTGCGTCGAGCCTGCCAACGGGACCAAAGATCACAGCTCAGTTCTCGTCTCCTCTGGGTGCAGTGACCACTAAAGTTTATTCATCTGTGTTTTAAATCATCCTTTTCCTCTTGATCTCACTTGAAGTGGCTTAAAAGTGTTGAGGTTTCTGCCCTTACGACAGAGAGGCACAGCTCCAGCAGACAAGGGCCTAATTTTGCTATCCATATGGAGGACAACCAGTTTTTTGGAGTGGACCAGTGGTAAGGGAGCGGGTTAGCGAATGGCACCAAGTTACGAAAAACGTAACCCAATATCAGTAAATTATGAAACATAAATACACCAAAAGGGAATTGGGAGCTGGGGGGGAGGGGATGTCACTAAACAAACGGCAAATCTCTTTTTTTCTCCCTCTCCCTCCACAAGATTTTCTTTTGTACGATTGCCCTTTAGCAGGGAGTGGAATCTATTTTCTTTGCAACTTTAATTCACTGAAGACTACTCACATGCCATTTCCACTTTTAATTTAACAAATGAGGACTCTTGACTGAGCTAATAGCTTTTCCTCAAGGGCATAATTCAATCTGCGACATCAACCATCAAAGTCCCTTCGCATTACTATGTCCGGAGCTAACGTGAGGCGCCTCCGAGGGGGGATGGAAGTCCAGTGGCAGCTTCCATTTATTTTCAGGGCTCTCACAGTAAACAAATATGATAGAGCTCACTTGAGCTGGCAATCCAGTGACAAAGAGCTGTGCGGCTGTTGTTTGCTCTGGTTCTGGGCCATATGGTTAATTTAAATCAGAAAAGGAGCCGGTATTAAGACCGCGACCAGGAAGGGAAAGGAAGACAGAGAGAGGGAGCGAGAGAGAGCAGTCATGTGGAGGACACATCCCTCAACGTCGCATTTATTATTTTACAGCAGCCCTCGGAAAAGAGGCAGCCTTGGTGCTGTGTCGAACACACAGCACTAATGACAACCACTAGGGAAACTGAATATTGGAGAATGGGCATCAAATGTTCAAGGAGAAACTAGGACTTTTTGTTTTTTACCTGAACCTATTCTCTATACATTGTGTGCCATACAAGGCATGCACATTTATCAAATAGCCTCTGGAGTGCAAATAATATTAAATATATTGGTGTAAGCCCATGTATCTGGTGAGAAAGTTGACTTTCACAGTACAATAACTCATGACAAAAATCTGTTGTGTAAAATACATATTTAGAAATGGAAATTGGAGAAGGCATGATACAGTTCATAGTATCCTGGAACAGGAAATAAAGGAGGGCTTTGTTTCTAAAATGTGCACGTAAACTTTGGGTACTACTGAGCTTTCAGCAGGCAAGCTAAAAGCTAAAGCAGAAATTGGCGAATGGACTGTCATAGGTCGTGTCTCAAGACATACACTATTAGAGAAACAATATAGGTTTAACTAGCTCCAATTTGAGCGGAAGGCAGTTATTGTGAGGGTCAAGATTCCGATGCTAATGATGTGTACCTTTGAAAACTATACGCTCTGAAATCACTAAGGGCCTAGATTAAGCGGGAGGTGGATGAAGACCGAAAGAAAAAAGCTTCAATTAAAAAGTATGAGTGACTGCCCACAACAAAAGACGAAACCCAAGACTTGGGGAAGGCACCACATGCTATTCATTTTCTAAAGTGAATGGAGTCAACAGGGAGGAGCTGGAGAGCACAGAGCCGGGAAGGGAAAAGTTCACTTCACTGAGCCACTCAATCATCTCTCCATAAGTGACTCTGTCATAATGGGGCTTCTTTTAAAAGCTTGTAAGCATCTGATTTCACGAGACAGCGTTGACAAGAGACTTGGCTTCAGCCCCCTGTGAGAAAAAGTTCCTTGAATAGGAAGATGCTGTGCCCTCTAACATTTGATTCACAGTGCAGGGCATTAAAAAAAGTTTGATTCAAAGTTGAATTGACTGTAAATCATTTCCTGATCTGAAAATCTGATAAAGTTGCCACTTTTTCAGTAGTGTGTCAGCATCAATAGCAAGTGATAACTATTAACTATTATTGTAATTCTTATTCTGCATTAAAAAAGTAATTTGTTGATATTCAGAGGTGAGGATGAACATAACGTATCTATTGAATGTGCTGATGTCCTTGTAAAAGTTTAAAGCAGTATTCATGATTTTTCACCACTTTCTATATCCCATAATGACTTTATAAACAATGAACATGTTAGTAGATGCCTAATTATACATAATAATAAGTTTTGTCACTGCTGCCTGCTGTGGTTGGAAACAAGGTGGGTGAGAGCTATGAGAGTGAACAAAAATAGTAAAATAGTAAATATTTAACATATTTTCTACTGAATTTCGCTGGGGACAGATTGGTACTTTTCCAGTATTGGGGGACAAGAATGCTCGGTACACCCTAGGACAAAACAATGAGCTAAAAGATGACAAAACGCTCGCAGAGCGTGAGGGGAACTGCAGAGTCGGTCGATAATTCACTGTGAGCACATTACACATCTGACCAGTTGTTACTACTAAAATATTACTCAGCGCAGCTTAAAATAAAATCCTTTAGTTATAATTAACTTCACAGTTTGCAAAGCACATTTTGTAGAAGAGGGGTACACAACACTCACATTTTAAACCCAAACAAGACAATACAACAATAATACCAGAATATGACGAGGCACAATTACTGCGTGCAAACACACATCAGACGGGAAAAAATGTAACCAAAGCGGGCTAAAAGAAAATTTGAACAGCATGTGTTTCACACAAAGGCGTTATTCTTGGAAAAACATCATGGAGGGTCTAAACGTTGAGAAAGAAAAGAACAAGAAGACAGAGATGTCATTTTCTAGTGGGTGGCTCAAAGAAACCACACAGTAACCAGACAAGAACTGCTAAGGCATTGCTCTAAAGCCCTACAATATCTTCCCTGGACTATGATACAGACCTAAAGCATGCAGTTTTCGCAACCTTTCGTATAAAAAGATCAGGTGAAACTGTAACTAGTAATACAAGATATGTATACTTTATATAAATATTAAATCCAACAGTAAATTCTCTGTTCACCTTTGTGGCTTTAACACAACATGTTGATCATCCTACTACAAAAGCTCAACATACACAGAAAAAAAATTTAAGGGTTTGCAAAAAATAAAAAAATAAAAAAACAATAACCAAAGGAAAAAAAAAAGATGAGAAAATAAGAAACACTCCTCTTTGGGATTTTTTCCCCCTGAGGAATGACTGCACAAACTCTGCGGAATGTGTTGAAAATATACCAGGAGACAAATGAGAGGTAAAAGGAGGCGGTGTGTTGTGGTGGAGTGTACAGTTGCATGCTGCCGAAGGGAGCCGAGGAGGGGAGAGAGAGAGCAAAACTCACCATGGAGTTTTAATGGCAAAACATCCCGCCCCAAAGAGGTAGGGTCTTCATGAGAGGGGGGAGGTGGGGGTGAAGGGGGGGGGGGGGTGGGATACAGAGATAGACGGAAAAACCATTATTAAACTAGCACACTTGAGCAAACACACTTTTCACATTACATACTTTTTGACGTGTCTGTTTAAGTGCACAACACATACGAGGCAGGAAACAGAATGTCTGTGCGCTGAGATGGATTTGAAAACCTGCGGGATGGTTGATGATTCATCTGCTCAAGCTGCTCTGTAAAGTGTGATACCATATATTTGGCAGATGCAGCATGTCCACAGACTTTGATTTCTTTTTTCTTCAGACATCTGTCATGTTTTTTTTTGTTTTCTTTTCTCTTTAAACTTAAAGGGATCGGGTACATGTGCAGAAACATGTAGGTCTGAATCCAACCGTGTAAATATGACACTGAGAAACGATGGGAAACAGTTCTGATTGTTGAGATTGAGAGAGAGAATATGAAGAGTTTATCCTATTTGTATAATAGCTGGGGACACCAATAAAACTAACAGCGCTCGGCCATTGTTGAGACAAGGAGCTGTGTGTTTGCATGCGACTTCTTTTTTTAGTGCAAGTGTGTATTTCTGGACGTGCATTGTCTTGAATGTGCGTGCCTGTTTGGAAGCGAGGGTGTGGGCAAAAGTGTATTCACTGTGATTATGTTAACAAGTACACAGTGTGTGTGTGTGTGTGTGGCGTCTCTTCCAGGGTGTATTTCTGTCTATCTGTCAGTTTGTGCGTGTTTCTAATGTTTACAAGACATTAGGAGTGGGAGTGTGTTCCTGTGTTTATTCTGCATGTCCAGAGATAGTGACAGAGCTCCGTAAACAGTTTACAGTAAATAAGCCTTTTCCCTACAGCAATAAAGGTCCGATGAGACTGAACTCTGTCCCCCACCAGCCAACCTCCCAGAGTCATGAAAAACAGAATCCCCGGCCAACCAAAGCACTCTGCAGCACTTCTTTATTTTATCGCTTTCGCCGCATCCGCCGGGGGGCCCTCCCAACGATAGCACACAGTCTTCAATTAGTCTTGGTACATGGATGTGTAGAAAAATGTTACTCCGGGAGACAGGGAGCAACAATTTGCCCTGGAATGTCTTACTCCTGGAGCGCACGTTGACAAATGAACATGGTGGTTGGTGTAATGGAGGCCCCTGGTAAACTGCCACTCATCAAAGAGTTGCAGAGGGGGGTGGACGGTCTCTATCGGAACCCGCTGAGCCCCCCCACTCTGGGCCTCCAGCTGGGTAAATGGATGGACACCAGTGGGAGAGTGATGGACGAATGGGAGGGGTGAGATCGCCACAGGGGTAGAAAAGGCTAAGTAGGCTTTGGGGTTTACAAGATGCCACTTTGAATTTCTCCCTCCCACTTTGTTGAAAGTTATTGTTGGTGGAATTCATTGTTGGTGGCTGACAGAGTGATAGGGATTAATGGCTACCAAAGAAAGTTGAAGAGAAACTAAACAGTCAGTCAAAAACAATACTGGGAGCATTCTGACTCATGGAGTTCACCATTTAAAGGTTATCTCTGTTGAATTCATCCTTTTAGGCAAGGTACAATGTGACAACTTGCATAATAGTGACTGAAAAGGAAAAGGATTTAACAAAAGAATGGCCATACTGTGGACATAAAAGACATTTGAGCAAAATGCTTTAAGTCTCATCAGTATTAGCACATTCTATTTATTATGTTCAAAAATAAAAAATCCCACTCCTGTCAGTGGGTGGGATATATTAGGCAGCGTGAGGATTTGAGCGACTTTCACAAGGGACACATTGTGATGGCTAGACGACTGGGTCAGAGCATCTCCAAAACTGCAGCCCCTGTCAGGTGTTCCTGGTCTGCAGTGGTCAATACCTATCAAAAGTGCTCCAGGGAAGGAAAAGAACCAGAGACAGGGTAATGGGGGGCCAAGGCTCACTGATGCACATGGAGGCTGGCCCGTGTCCAACAGACGAGCTACTGTAGCTCAAACTGCTGAAACAGTTAATATCTGTGTATGTATGTATGTATGTATGTATGTAATGTAATATTTCTTAAATTAGGGTGTGAGGATTTGTTGGGGTGAATAATATAGGGATATAAAGGAAAATCAGTATTGGCTCCATGTCAGTATTATCCACATGAACAATAAAAACATAAAAAAAAAAAAACACATTCAAAAGCTAGAAAATGCAACTTTATGAAAGTAATGCCAACTTCATTAATCCAATCCCGACCTGTAAAAATCACATTTTATGGCCTAAAATTCAGATTATTGGGTTTTAGACTATTTTAAGAACCTGCGGACACCCTGTGAAATGCAGAGGATTTAAGCTTTAGTGTTACAAATCAAAAGGTCAAATTGCACACTGCTTACAATAAAACAAAAGAATGAGGTCATATTGGGAAAACCGTCCACCATGTTGAGCTGGCGGTAAACACTTTTGACCACAGTGTAGACAAAGACCGCGCAGTTATGTGACACACTGCCTGATCCAGTAGGTTTGGTGGAAAAAGAGTCCCACACAGGTCAGAGGCATGTTGGGAAACATCAGTTTAGCATGGGTCAGTGGAGTAAAAGGGGCGTAAGACTGCGGGTGCTACTGAGACGAGGCAGAGAAAGAGGAAGAGAGTCGGGAGGGGAGGGGGGTAAACAAGCAAGAGTGATCGACCTGCGAGGGCGGCGACCCCACTCCCGGAGAATAATCGTTCACACATTCATCTCTTAACCCGTTGGCCCTAATAGCAGCTCCGCCTGGGCCATTAAAAAGGGAGGGAGGTGAGGTGATTTGTGCGAACGGTTTAGTCTTGCTGCCATGTGATGCTGGACATCGCAGTCTTAAAGCCCCTTTCTGACTCTGTTGAGGCTCTGTAAGACAATGGCTCTAGCACCGAGTTGGCTCTTACACACGTATTACAGTAATCTGAGTGCACATCTGCGGCAGGTCACAGGGTCTTGTTCATTCTCTCGCTGTTGTCTTTCTCGTTACCTCGCCTGCACTCTGTCTGTCTGCATTTGCTTGAAAATGTCATCAGCGGGATTTGTTCAAGGGTGATGTTTTGTTTTGTGTGTGACAATCTTTCCATTTGGATTTTCATTTGTCTGTGTTAAAGTCAGACTGTGTGTAGATGGGATAAGTGTGCAATAGTTTGTCTGCTTGCAAATCCTAAATCAGGCATTTTGACAAGTTAAATCTATCCTCGTAGAACTCTGGTGACCAGGGACAAGTAGACATTCCTTGGAGCTGACTGAATATTTCTCTCTTAATCTGTTTCACAGATTAAGTTCTAACAGTGACATTTCACTAAGAGAGAATCTTTTGATTTTGCGACCACTGTCTTTTTATTCCTTGGGATTTAATTCATCTGGGGCCAACCTTCTGCCAAATTTGGCCGACAGGAAACAAGAGGCCGGGTCAGAGCCGACACTCCTCTCCTTGTTCGGGACTCCCAGGAGACTTTGAGGACTAGCAGAAGCTTGGCTGTGCTCCTCCACTCCCTGACCTGGCCTTGTCTGGTGTGTGCGTGTTGGGGGTTATCGGGCGGATGCTGAGCCACATCCGACTCCATCTCCCCCGCTTCGACGGGGAGAAAACACCAAAAATCTAAATTAAGAGAGGAGGGGGCTCTGCATGAACTTGTTGAGGTTTTCTTTGATGTTAAGAATTTTAGAGGACAAACAGCGGCATTTTGCACATTGGTGGTCTGTAGGCGTGCCAGGGTCTGTAAAGGTATCCCTACAGTTGGTCTGGTCCCACAAACGGGGTAAAAGCTTCATCAACGTGTCTATCTGCATGTGCTGTTGTGTGTGTGTGTGTGTGTGTGTGTGTGTGTGTGTGTCACGGCACAGTGGGCACAAAGACAGCCTGGTAGGGAATGTAGGTTAAGCAGCTGGTGTGTTCCTCTGCCGCCCTGCCAACAGGGATCTGCTCATACAGGTGTAAATACAGCTGCCGGACGCTTCTCTCTCTCTCTCTTTCTCTCTCTCCCTCTCTATCACACACACACACTCGAACACATGCACACTCGCACATAAAAAAAGAGAGAGAGAGAGGGCTGGCTGCACAGACAGACAGATGGTGCCTGGGCACTCCTGTGCAAGTATAGCGTGAAAGCATATGATATCACCCCCCACTCTAGGGGCCAAACCTGCTGCTTCACTCAGTGTGTGCGTGTGTGTGTGTTTTTGGTGAATTGGTGCAGCCGTGTGCATGCAGGAGCAGGCCGCACAGCTGCATGTCCTGATGCATTAATACTGACGCCTGGACTGGATGGACGGGTGAAGGAGTACTGAGGCAGCCCAGCAGGTCTGATAATGTCCTCAAGAGCCAATATAGCTGTTTGAGGTGTCTCATGAGCACCTATAGTGGGTAAAAAAATGTGGAATATTTGTAGAATTAAAGGATAAGGATAAAGCTTGCTGTATTTTTTATTGTACATATTCTCAACAAATCCCAAGAAAAGACCCAAACCAACAACGACTGTATCCTGGTAACGTGTACTGTCTGTGCCATAGAGCTCCATTGTTGTCCAAAAGCTATTTAAAAACACACCAAGGAGACACTGGTTCCTTCACTATGAACACACACAAATGCACGGGTAGGTAGAACACACACACACACACACACACACACACACACACACTTGTAGTTTGTTTGACTCATCTTGCTGCCACAAATACTCACTTGAGCACCAAATTTGGATTAACCTAACCCCAAAAAACGATTCTAGAATTAGAAAAAGAAAATGTATTTAGTAGTTTTTTGTCTGAGAAATAAAGGAATCTCTTTCAGTCAGAATCTGTCTTCAACCTCATTTTGTTAAAAAAAATAACGAGGAAATCGTAAACTGTATCAAATTGTGAGTTGAGGATATCCTTAAATCCACAGTGCCCAGCTGTTTTAGGAAAATATTTCACTTTTTCTAAGTGAAACTATACTCAGTTGCCATTTTATAAGGTATGTCTGGGTAAAACTAATTTAATGTCTACCTTGCAATAAGTCCTAACTTCATGGTAAATGCTGTGCAATGTTCAGTTCTTGTTTTATTCATTATTTTCCTTTGTGGTCACTTTGGCACAGGCAGTTGTTTGTGTTAAGGTGTTATCAGAGGAGGTGTTTATAATGTTCAGTCTGGCCTCACTGATACAAAATATAAGAAAAACCTCTGTATTTGTGAACTTTTACATCTTCAACAGGGAATAATGGCTTTGGGGCTGGAGTGTCACACACAGGGAAGTTACATACATACAAACATACAAACATACATACATACATACATCCACAGGGCTGGTTAAGGTTTTTTCTTGGAATTTGTTGACAGTAAAAAACATTAATTCCAGCATTATTCCTAAACAAAGATGATGAATTTCTTATAAATTTCCAGCACTAACTGAAACTGAACCAAGAGTGGCATTTAGTGACAAATTCACCTAGATTATGATTTGCTGTTCTCTAGTACCAGTGATTCAACCTATAGAAGGGTCATGAAAGTGTTTACATTCCTTGTTCTAAACAGTAAATAACAGTGTCACATTGGTCATTTTGAGGAAAAATTCATCTGAGAAATGATGATATTTAATTAGATTTCTGTTTTGTTCTGAATCTCCACAAGAGTGGATTGGTGGATATTTAGCAGGATCATCAACCCATCACCCAACACCGCTGAACACAAAAAGAAAAAGACATCACCCATATCGCTAACGATACCTATATTACAGAGATTTTCATTTGACTTTGTTCCTAAGGCTATAAAACCTAAACACCTTTTTGGTATGACTGAAAAGTGTCTGTAAGACAAAGTATTGAAATTCACTACAATACATGTATCTGAGTGTTACATGGTGATATCATATATCATCCCATCCTGAGTGTAATAAAAGCCAGCATCAAATGTCTGGTCAGCAGATTCTTAATGTGTGATCAGACAGTTCCTGATTTAGTTCTGCCAGTTTCTAATGCATTGTATTTAGGCACAAAGTTAGCATTTAGCTTTTTAAAATTACACTATTGAAAAATGTATTGTTTTATTATCAAAACACGTGTATCATATTGGCAGTGGACTACATGACTGACAAGGAAAATCTTGGAAGTGCAACACTGCGAAAATAAGCACTCAAAAGAATAAATAAATACATAAATTAAACTACTGATTACTGGTTAAAAACTAAGATGGAGGCAAATATAACCTGGCGTAATGAGACTTAACAACTTACTGCCAAAGACAAAAACAAAAATATTTGCAGTAGTGAGTGAAAATACACACAAAAGAAAAACATATATAATCACACACACAATTAAAAAAGTAATGAGAGTTTAGCATATGATTGAGACAATAAAAAACACTGAAGCAAAATAAAAGACATGATACAAATAAAAACAAAAATATCCCAGCTGGAAAAAAAAGAATCATATTATCAAAGATTACAAAAAAAATAAATGAATGAAAAAATAGCAAATAATATCAAAAAAGGAACACAAGCAACCTGCCCAAGGTGGGTTGGGACATGTTTAACTTTTGAAGGCCTTAAATTAAAACCAATCAGACGCATTCTGAAGCCCACACTGTATGACGTTAAATATTACTAACTGAATGCAAACCACCAGCACCAGGACATCATCATAAATAGACCCAAGCAGGACACCACAGTGGCCCATAAGCACTAACACATTTTACAAACCAAATGAACTTTGTAGGTTATCTTAATGATTTGGAAAATGGCCTGATGTTGTTTACATTGACCGCAGGATCAGGTCTCTATTTTCATCTTCAAAGCTCACTTATCAAATATCACGGGGAAATAAATCCCTCGCCATCTGCTTGAATCATTATAGCATTTCCCATTCAAACAGGGCATGAAAATTACATTTAAATGAAAATATTAAAATCTGCCCATATTTGTGGAGCCACCTGTACTGTATGTAAATGCACTTAGCAAAGGCCTGTAGTTGTTGATGGTCTTAAAACTACATGATTTCAATGCATGGCGAAGATCCAAGTGAAAAAAAAGAGAGAGACCGAGGACAGAGGTGTATGAGAGCAGAGCTGTCTTCCTTTTAAAACTCAACTTTCAATACTCAAGCGGTCAGAGTCACACTGCATTTAATGTGATTTTTAATTATCTGAGTGGTTTTATTTCTATTCTTAGTGTGCGTGATGTGTTTTATCCGCTTTCCAAACAGCCCACAGAACAAGTTCGCATGTGTGCTGTGCTTCATTGCCCTATGCAAAAAAGTGGTGGACTGAGACAAAAGAAGTCCATGAGCATCAGATGGATTTGTGAGAGGGAAAAGCTTTGGCCTACACAAGGCCACTGTTGACACAATACAGTGTTTTTACAATGTGATTAATGGAAAAAGATAGCAAATCACTGACTGATGGAAGATGGAATACAGTGTGATTTAAATTTTCCTCGACAGTGGCCAAACCGTAAATCTAGTAGAGGTTGTAAGGCGGCCAATAACCCCTTTACACTCACCCACTCTGGAGAATTATTTATTTGTTTCTCATTTTTTGTACTCTGTGGTGCATTGCACCTGCATTCTTATTTTTCTTCTTGAAAACTACCATAATGACATGAAAATATTAGTCTAATTTATCAATATATAACAACATTTCATATTCATGTAGCTTTTTAAAGTACTGGCAGTCATAGTTCTGACTAACAGGTGGAAAAGTGGATGGTAAAACGTTGAGTCTAAAGGCAGCAGGTCTGAGGAATTCCAGATTTATTGATTCATATTTTTGATTTGCTTCCGATAATTTTTTTGTGATTTTGTGATTTTTAACAAAATAACAAAAATAAAGAAACACTATTTAACCCCGTTTGTAAGTTTTAGTTTTTAGTTTATAAAGAGTTCAATAAAGGTTTTTAAACAACTATAACTAAATATTATCTAGTTTTAAGCAGATATGGGGACATTAAAGGTGTTTATTAGTTTGTTTGTCAACAACTCCTGCTGTGAAGTATCTGTAACTGCTATATTAACAGATAATGAATGATAACATAGAAAATGTCAACATTTGAAATGAATATAACATATATAGTGTTAACTAATTATATATATGAATTAAAATCCTTTTACTTTACTGGGTCACAGAACATTTGAGGGAAGATGATGGAAAATATAATTTTAAAAAAAGAATCCAATTATTACCATATTATTATGTGAATATATAACATATCGAAATCGTATTGTATACGGTGTGGTCAATGCGTTTTTACAGACATGTTGCAAAAGAGTGGCACGGGCCATAAGGTAATGCTGTACGAGGGGCCTTGGCATGAAGAAGTTTGGGAACCCCTGACCTAACACATCTGATAAGTGACTAAAGGAACATAATAAAGAAAACCATCAGTGTGACACAACCTACAAAGTAATGGATTCTGTGATGTGTTTGTTTTATATTGTAGCTGTGTTACACATGTGCTTCATAAACTGGAGTTCCTGTGAAAAATAAAAGCTGAGAGGGTGTGTGTGTGTGTGTGTGTGTGTGTGTGTGTGTGTGTGTGTTCTACCTACCCGGTGCGTTTGGTGATGGTGCCCAGGGTCATGGGCTGTTTGATCTGAGCCAAGGGCAGCACCACGGTGAGGCTGGGCAGCGGGGACAGCCGCGGGTTCCCCATGTTGTTATTGGTGAAGTTGTTGTACGAATCCTGGCTGCTCAGCTTGGCTAGAAAACACATGCAGAGATACAGGATTATTAAAAGCATTTTTTCAGTGAATAGTGCTGGATGTTGCCCATACAGCAAGGTCGGAGAATCTCCTTCTCAGAGATTTGGAGTGGAACATGTCAATCAAGAGCTCTCCCAGGTAATGGTCGCAGAACACTGTGAATGCAGGAACAACCTTTTATACATAATTCATTTTTTTCAGTGGTTAGTGGCTCCTTTTTTTCAGCCTAGTGGTCTTTACAGATGCTAATTCTCAATGTTGCTCAGTTTGAATTTAATTAAAAATTCACTTTTTCCATTCATTTGCTTTAAATTGCAAACCAGGCATTCAGCAGACCACCAGAGGACCTTGTTTACAAAATAGAAACACCTTTCTCTCCAAGAAAAAAAACCTTGTTTGAATACTGCACATAATATTTTATTTCTTCCAACCCCTCAGTCTCTCTCACACTCACACACACACACACACAAGAACATGCAACCCGGGGTTTAAGGCCTCCTGTGGAATGATTGGAAATAACCAGCTCAAGATGCTACATTACAAAGGCTCGAGCTCTGCTTCTACTGCCTGGCAGTCTGTTAATCAAGGCCAATCAACAGGCCCTACACACTGGTTCAACACACACACACACACACACACACACACACACACACACACACACACACACACACACACACACACACACACACACACACACACACACACACACACACACACACACACACACACACACACACACACACACACACACACACACACACACGGGCAAATGCACAGATGATCCAAAGAAACACATCTCATCTCACATGTCCCATGCAGCTCCAGCCAAACACAATCAGGCCATGTCAAAGGGCTTCTTGAAGGTCTAATGACCTTAAGCAGCTACACCAGGAGAGAGGCTGCTAGTTCACTTACTATTCAAAGTAACACACAGTTAGACTCAATCTTACTGGAGAACACATTTCTACACTATTTTTTTCTGCAAGGCAAGCAGACATAATATCTGTCAGGAAAAACAATTGTGTGTATGTTGTCTGCATATCGTAGGGATGTGTATTGGCAATCTGGTGATACGGTTACAATTCAATATACTTATTAATTTTATCTAACTTTAGGAAAACTGTAACAAACTAACTTTAACCTATACAAGGTAAAGAGTTTTTAAAAAAGGAGAGTAGAATAGTTCATCCACTGTTTTGATCAGTGAGAGATCCAACTTTGTGTAGTACCCAACTTTTATTTCTTTGCTTTTACCAATTCAATTCAATTCAGTTTTATTTGTATAGCGCCAAAGACATTTTTATACAGTAGGTCACAGTTCCATTTACCTCCATTGTACTGGGGTGCAGGCACAAACCTCAGAGAAGCCTATTTCTAAACCTGGACAAATACAAACATAACTATCTGCATGGCTACATACCACTAGAGCTGAGTGTAACAATACGGGTTGTTTTTGTAAAGTTGGTAGGATGGCCCTCCAATACAATGAGAAAAAAAACAGTCACATATAAACAGCCGCATAGAAACATTTCACTATAGGGGACAAGAATTGCGGATTATAAAACAAATATGTTTGTAATCCTATGACAATAGCTGCAACAAAAAAGTGTACCCTGCTGTTTCAATAGGCAGCCCAAGGAAAATTCCAAGTTCAAGTGCTTTCAAAAGAAATAAAGAGCAAACCTGTGGGTGCACCACAATACACTCTCTGAATGTTTCCTTGTTCCATTTGTTGCCTTAATAGATGAGTGACAGCCGCGTAACATAAAGGAATGAAAAGGAGGGAGGGGGGGACGCAGAGACAAAGAAAACAAGGCGGACATCAAAGGTTACAATAAAGGTAGAGGAGGAGAGTGCCTTGTCATTATTTGGAAGGAGCGATCAAGAGGAGGCTGAATGCGAGCGGAAAGGGACTGCTGAGTGTTTTGGTCCAGTCTTTTAGATCATTAACGTGTAGCTCTGAGTTTCATTAGTCCTGCCAAACCTCTGCTTTGTGGTCCTCCAAAGGCCTGTCTTTTAGACCTCCGCTGGCTAACAATGCTGCGTGACCTTCGGATTGGGGAGAGGAGACCATTACAACAAACCTGTCCTTCATTTCCCTCTGCTCCTCTCTTGGTCAAGACTAACAGAGGCCTGCACCAGGGCAGCTCCTGAAAGCCCTTCACATTTCAAAAGTGCTACACCCCCAGAGCCTGGGCAGCCACCTTTTGTGTTGAGCGGGTGGGGGGGGGGGTCTGTACAGGAAGCAGTCTGAAAAGCCATAATGGTGCTTCAGCTAAGAGGGGAGCGGAGGGTGAGGATTGGTGGTGGGGGCGGGTGGTGTCGATGAATTTAGCATCCAAAACGGACATTTCACTTTTGCTCCACTGCGTTATTCGCGGTGATCCCCCCACCCTTAAAAATAAGCCTGGCTGTGGATTGTACAACAGGTGTGGCCGGCCTGAGATGGGGGGTGATGATCACTGTTGACCAAACAGTCATACCGTGCTGTCACTCAAGGCCAAGGAGTCCTAAATTGTCATAGCCCCGCCCCACTGAAGACAAGTTAGAGTGGAACGTGTTAGAGATCACGCACCGGCAGAAGATGATACGTGAAAAGAGACAGATAGCAAGGGTGCTGGGGTGGTGCTTGTTTGTGTAGGTGTGTATGTGGCGGGGAGTTGCAGACAGAATGAGTAAAATTATGGGGGGAGTGAGGGACACTGATCAAGAGTTTAGCTTCTAAAATTATGACTTTGGAGTCTACACACCAAATGAGTGTAAAATGTTGTTTTCTTCATGCTTGTTAGTGCTGTTTCTAGAACAGAGCAGTTGCAAAAAAGACACGTTTTTGTAAAATAGTTTGACCTTCTTCTCTGAGAAATGATCAAATTTCCTGACTCTCCCTGTCTGTCTCTATGATAAAACAAATATTTCAACGCAACAAAATGTAATCTGTGTTTTTATCTCGTCACTCACATTTATATGTCTCATTCAGTCAAACAAATCTTAAATTAAGAAATGAGAATTAGAAATACACACTGAAATGTGGTGTAGGGATAATTAAGTGGGGATAATAATTGGTAAATGGTATTTGAAAAAAAAAATATATAAATAAATATATTTTAAATGCATGCTTCAAACCAAACATTTTTCTAGAAAGCTCAATGTGATAGAGTGAAGAAGAAAGCGGAAAAATAAGGTTGTTTCACTGTGTGTATTTCAATTTAAAATCATTGAAATTGTGCATTGTAAACTTTATTTTAACAACTATCATGTGCTCTGTTGTTTCTATTCATTTTGTTTTGTCCAGTGCACTCATATTCCATAATTTCCCAGCATTTATTCATTTCATGTTTTATTGCAGTCTAAACTGATATGAGTGCTATAATCTAAATCAGGGGTGTCAAATACGGCCCAGAACAGGCACGCCAATGGGTCCAATCCGGCCCACTGGTTTTACATTTTTCGATAAAATGCACTGGTATTTCTAATTGAAGAAAGAGGTAAGATATAATATTGTGGTGGTCTAAACATTTGGTAAACCGTAATGCACATGTAATGACAGCACACTGACAGAATGTAGAAAAGCTGAGACAAATTGTTGAAATTAATATTTACTTATTTTCAGAATCAGAATCAGAAATAGTTTATTGATCCCCGGGGGGCAATTGGTTGTGTTGCAGTTGCTTAAGTTGCTAAACAAGGCATTTTAAGAAATAGAGATAACCATAGGAATGTTAAAATATATAGAAAATTAAACAGAAATATTTACTGTGTAAAAATAGGTGTATTACACTAAGGTATATAATAATATATAGAAAATAAAACATTCAAAATATGTATAATACAGTATATAACAGAGGTAGAATGATGAGTACTAATAATAGGTGTGCTAAAGAACAGTAAAGTGCTTTGGATGGTTCATTAATTCTGAATGTTTCTTAGAATGTTCTTCTTTACACTAAAATAAAGGGAACTATTTGAAGGTGTTGTTATTTATAGGTCACTTACTATTAAATTGGGCTGTATGTGGCCCATGAACTAAAATGCCTTTGACATCCCTGATCTAGATCCTTATTATTAACATTTCATGATTGAGGCGTTGCTGCAGATGACTTGCCAATAATAGAAGGTCAGGATGGCTCTGCTCTGGCCAACTCAGTTCTGTGAAATTGCACTTCTTGGCTGTTATTTTCATAGAGAGAGTGGTGGAGCAGGCAAATGCGAACAACCGACTGAGGGCGTGTCTACATCCGCCTATGGGTAATAGTGGGAGTGGAAGTCAGGCTTGTGCACGAGCCCGTCATTCCACAAAGACCGAAATTTATAGAACAGAAGTATGTGTATGCACAGCTTTAAAAATAAGACATTAAGAGTGTGAACACATATTTTTTGCATTTGTTTGTACACAGAATTTTACTCATTAAGATTTAGATACTTCTTGGAGTTGGGGCCATATTTATCAGTAATTCTTTCTCCAGTGCCATCATTACTACTACCGCTTGATACTACTACTAATGTTGGAGGTTTCATCTTTTAAATGACTTATATTAAATTACTTTACACACTTGTTGCACGCTGAGGTTTCTGAGAATTATTTACAATAATTCCAAACTGAAAGACAGACAAAAAGGTAGCAAGGAGGCCAGAGAGGAAAAAAGCTGACTGAAGCTACTACAAAGAGAAAGAGAGGGAGTAAGAGAGAGTGGGGTAGACAGATGAGAGGCGTCTGGCAGACAGATAGCTCTAGATGGAGGCCATGATTTGATTAATGACCAGCGCGTGATGTGCCCTAGCACTGATACATGACATCCCCATGGAAAGAAGATCCATCAATGCAAATGCAGCTCCGTCGCCATCGTCGAGAGAAAAACTCTGACCCTGCCAAAAAGTCACACTGTCACCTGACCCTTGTCTCCCTTTCTCCCTTAATCCAACCATCCATCCAGCACTCCTCCGTCCGTCCATCCCTCCCTGTCTCAACAGCATTTGCATTCTATTCTCGCATTAAGCCCT